TGTTGGCCAACTCGGGCGGTATCGCCCACTCGTGGGTGATGTGCTGGTGGCCGGTGGGACTCACATTGACAGTGGCAGCTGTTGTTTTGTGCTCCCTTTGGAAATACTTGTCGGTGGGCGGGGCGAAATGTCCCTCTATTACAGCTGGCAAAACTGGGCAGTGGCTACAGAAAGGTTGACACGCACTGATCTAAACAATTTCCAAGAAAAACAAACAAACCCAAACACTTCTGATCTTTCTGCTACCATGGAAACTGTGTCAGATTACAAAGCAAAATCTTCAAGGTTATTTGAAACTCATTTGCTCATGTATTTCTTTCCGTATATTTCCTGGAGGTAAAGGGGAGAGGGGAGAGGGGAGAGGGGAGAGGGGAGAAAAGATACACAATGGAAACCGTCGTAGATTTAGAATTGCCAGTCCTAGGAAAACTTAGATATGCATACGCCCCCCACCCACCACAAGCCCCCCCCCCCCAACCACATCTGTTGTATATATCATCTGTTGCAGATATCATCTGTTGTAGATATCATCTGTTGTAGATATCATCTGTTGTAGATAGCTCTTTAACCCCACCCAGCCAGGTTTTGCGTGGTCTGTCTTTCGCCCTGACTCTCGTGAGTACATCTATATTATGGAACATGATTTTCACAAAGCGGAATAGGATACGAACGGCTCAATTCTGGAGTATTTTATACCAATGTATAACGATTGACATTTACGATGTTAAAAATACTTAAGTTCAGAATCATGTAAATCTACCTCCGTAATGCTTTTAAGAATATTGAGCTATCTCTGCTCCGATTCTGGGGTCTCAAAAGTGTGTAATTTCTGCTGGAAAGTGACGAAAAGATCGGGCCGCGGAATTATACCATAGATAAATGCCGCGATTAGAGATGGTACTTGAGAGTTCCATACAGCGGAGACTTGGAGAGGTGAGGACGACAGATGATGGATAGGACAGAAAGAACAAACCACACCAGAGCACCCGTCAACCACCCACTTAACCAATCCGATAAAACCCACAAGATAAAGACATAATTAGAACATCTGAACCAATCAGCAACATGTGGAAAACATAATTATAGAACTACCATGTCAACTATAAAACCTTAATGTGACTAGCGAAGATACTATTGGTCGATCTAAGTTGGCGTCTGTCAATAAGTGGCAGATGCTAACCTCTCCCAGAGGAAAAGGAAGAATCATTATAAACGTATTCCACGTACAAGCAAAGCTGTGATGTAGGCTAAGTGAACACTGAGAGCCGGGGAGAGCAAACGTCTCACACACCAGCGTTCGGCAAGTTACACATTATCGGTTTATGCTAAATAGTCACAGCGTAGTGTGCAAAAGCTGAAGTGATACGAATGATGAAAATTGTTATAATAATAGTAGTAATAATTGCTTTGACATATTGCATATCCGCACTCAGTGCGCCCAACAGTCATTACTACCCCAGGCGACCCTAGAACTCTCCGAGGAATTCCCGGCCTCCAGGGAAGCATACAGTGCAAGCAGACGATTAGGCGCTCCAAAAAGGGACATTTTATTGCTCGGATAAATTCTTAATTATTGTTAAAAGGTAAATTTTGCCATCTCGTAAATCAACCGTTTTATTAGACTACTTGAAATTCACATGTTATTTTCTTAATGCTTTACGCTTCCATTGTAAGAGTCTTATAGATTTGGATGTTTTTTCAGTTTTAAGAAGAGTTTTGCCGCATTTGCAACACACAGATGTTCTATTAGTTCCGGAGATTAGAGGTACTGCTAGAGAGTAGCGTACAGAGACAAAAAGAAGGGGAGATAAGGACGATAGATGTCTGGTAAGTTAGAAAGAGCAAACCACATCGGATCACCCACCAACCACCCAGGACTCCAGTGTGAGGACTTCAGTCCTGTCTGTCAGGGTCACCCGGGCTGACAGGGACAGGTCCGGGCAGAAAGGGAAAGATCTCACGCCGTCCACACG